TTTCGAGCAACTTTTTTTGTTTCGAGCAACTTTTTGCATTCTGAGCAATTTCTAGTTTTCTAGATATCGGAGCAGCTTTTAGGGCTTTAATTGGCCATGTTTCCATCTTTTACAATGTTTCAGTAGACAATTTGTGAATTTCCTGTGAAAAAGAAGCAGTTCCTCCCCCCTGGGGCAGATCATGGGCGAAAGATGTATGCAGCCGGGCTGCTAGGTCAGCGGTTTTTTAAAGAAAATCCAAAATGGCGGACGAAGATTCCCGCTCCATTGATTCGAGTGTTTCAGGTTACGAAGGTCATTCAGATCCTTTGAGGGTAGCCGCAGAAGCAGGAGCAAGACTAAGTGCTCCAGCGAAAATGAAAATGGTTAGAAGTCTTGACCGTGAACAGCAACGACAATTTTATTGGCTCATAATAGAATTTTTACAAGATTAATATTGTTATATTGATGTTAATGCGTAGTAGAGCGGTTTTCAATTGAGTGTCGTAAAACCCGGGCGTAAAACCAAAACCAAACCAATTACTTACCAATTAGACTAATATAAACCAAAACCAAAGTAATTGTCTAATCACTTTCGAGACTCAAATGAAAACCGCGCTATTTACTCATACGCATTGTGAACAAATTTCTTGAGCGACGCTGGTTACAACGCAAAATTGCACAAAAAAGGTCAGAAATTTTACTTTTGTTCAGTACAGATTGCATATTTTTGCATCAGACCAAATAAAAGAAAAGAGAGACAAAAAAAAAGTTTTTGCTTTTTGTAGCAACTTTCGTTACAAAAAGCAACTTTTGACTTTGTTTGGAGCAACTTTTGAGGAACTTTTTGAGAAACGTCGGGCAACTTTTTGGGAAATCTCGAGCAACTTAAGCTTGTGGCAAGCCCTATTTGATTCACGATAAAGTGGAATGACAAGTGGTAGGGGGACGTAAAAAAAATGTATTTCTGAGCGTAAACATATTCTCATTTCATCCCAAATGGCGCTGACGGAACCAACCTATTTTCATGTAACAGTAAATTAAACTTACCAATAAAGCTAATAAATCAGCAGGACATTGAAAAAGTGTTGAACTATGAACAACACTGAAAATGATAACCCAAGCGTGGCTCAAAACAGTTTCAGGCAGCCAGCACAACATTTCCAAAACAGTTTCAAAACAGTTTCCAGCTAGCCAACATATATTTTCAAATTCCAATTCGATCCCGGAATGCACGGGCATTTCTGAACGAGTTCTTGTGAGCTCCTTGGTGCTCCGTGGCTAAACAAATTACATATTTTTACATAATTATTTACATATTTACATAGCACTTACTATGACGTAGATTTTGATGGGTCATTATAACCGGCACTCTTTATCGGTTGATGCCACGATCAAAAAACTGCCAAATCATTGGTGATCACGTTGTTGTCAATTTTGTGGCACAATAAACTACCATAACAATAATATGACCTGCTGAAAACACCCTTCATTTCAACTTTAAGCGCTTATAACTAAAAAATTAGCTCTGTGACCCCCATTTTTTATTATGGAATTGTGATGAGCATGATAAGATGCAATTTTTGGCAAAGTTTAAAAACATTCTATGGAGAGGGTTCAGAGCCACCTTAAATTTTAGAAAATATCGTCCCCAGGGTCTGCTCGGTCAACTCAACCTCTGACATGTAGTCTCAGTATCCTTTGGCAGCTGGAAAAAGTGGGTTGCTTTTCAAGATCACTAGTTTACATGTACATATGCAAGTTTATTCACCGTAATTTCGGTTGAAGATAATGTACGTCCCTGACCCTTGAATATTCGAAACATCTAGGATAGATGACGTGTTCGCCCGTGCTGTGTCCCGTGACAAACGCATGACTTACCCATAACCGCTAAAGGCAAATTTGTCACTAGCTTAGTAACCTGGCATCGCCTGACCTGGTGAATAGGAACCAGGAACGACCGGAGAACTGAATAGTTAAATTGCCTCTCGACTTGCAGCGTTTCTGTTAAGCCATGAATATCTTCCTGGGTATTTGTAAAACGTTGTTAGTGTGCTTGAGTCTTTGGACGCGTTCTGCATTTTCTGAGGGAACAACTTCGAGCCCTACAAAATGCCCTAAACATCAAGGGAGCGATCCAAGTGATGTGAACGATAGAGTGAGCAAATTTGCCAACAAGGAGTAAGTGAACACAAGCTTCTTTACGTTTTATTTATCTTTTGCAGTGTGTAAGAGTCCATGCAAGGCTGCTTGTGCACTACTGAAATGAAATGCTTCTTCTAATCGGAAATTTTGGCGAGAAGTTTAGACTTTTGGCATATTACACAGGTGCAACACGGTACAAGCTTGATCTTAAGTATATTTTTGGTCTGATAAGAGCATCGTATGTTAACGAGACTAGATTTATTGTGACGTGTATTGAAACTAATTACACATGTTGGTACTTAATTCTCCGCCAAGTTTTTGGGGTTCTGTGCTAAATTTGACCAGGCGTTACATCTTTTTCTGCAAGGAATAGGTAATTGTTACCGGCTGCTTCAAAACTGAAATTGAGTTTAAGTCGCTGTCTATGCACTCATGTGAGTTCTTTTCCTTTCGCTGTTTGTCACGCGACATTTGCAAAAGGCAAAGATTCCTTTTCCCTACCTAATAGTAATGTTTCTACATGAACGTTCGCTCACAAGTTTCTACAAGTAAGTTCGCCTCCAGTCCATGAACTACCAAAACAGACTACCCTAAAATACTCAATTCAGAATTTGAAGGATTGATATTGTGCTACTGATTATAGCATTTAAAGATGATTTCCAGGCCGTATCGCACAGTCTCAGCACTCTAATGTTTATAAACATTAGTAGAAGTTCTCACTCAGTGGAATGGGAATCAATGTTATTCGTTACAAGCCACATACATGTACCTTATCTTTGAGGCCTTTCAAATTCTTTTTCCAAGAGCTGCATTGATTTTGGAGAGGTCTGGTTCAATCAGCTGCTTTAACTGGTTTTGAAGATAATTAACAAGGTCATGCAAAAAAGTCAAATAACTCTGCTCTTGAAGCACAATATTATTTTGTGGTTTTGTTTATTACAATTTAAATGTTTATCCACCTCCAAAAATTGATATATTTTGTTGACACATTTGCGGTCTTAACAAATTTCCCAGAACACTTCGCCCTTCGAGGACTTTGCATTACACTACCATAGATAATTTTGTGTATATGTAGTTTTTTTACAGTGTAAAGTTCTGCGTTTTGTACTTTTGGCTATAAGAGTGTTTTGTTTCTGATGGACTGATAAGTTGTTCTACTTCAGACGTTTCCAATAGCTTTGTTTACAAGTATGTTTGATTCAAAGACTCTTCTAGCTTTGCATTCAACCTCTTCACACAAAGTTAAACCTATTAGTCTATCAAACAGCTACTAGCAATCACTCGGTTACATTATGTGCTGACTGCAACAAGTGTCAATCAAAGGACATTCAAAGTGTATTTCAACACACATGTATCACATTGTGACATTACCTCAGATAGTGGTACATTGGAAAAATCGGTATTGGTCATTTACATTATTGATTTGTCTATATCTGAGTGAGTGACAAATTGGCATGTTGAGAACTAGTCGATATTGGTCATTGATATATTGATTTGTTTACATCTGAGTGAGTGACAATTTGCATAATTATTTTGACCCCTATTGATAGTCATTTCTACGTTTTACTTATCCATGACTAAAAATGATAATATTCTGCACTTGTCACTTTCAGTGCATATACCACACATGATCAGGATTACAAATATATCATTAATATCTGTCCGAAAAACAGTGGAGACTCCAGAGCAGTTCAGCAACATGGTTTTAAGTGGCCAGATAGCAGTAAATGGACTACAGTCGGACAATATGAAGGAGCTCATGTTACTGGAGGAAGTAAGCACCCATTGTCTAGCAATTAATACTTTCTCGATACACAATTAGACTCATCAACAATTGATGAGCTTGGGGCATGGTGCCTGAAAGGATGGTGGAGCCCGAGAGCAAACTGAACCGAGCGCGTAGGGTATCCATGACAACCCTGTGAGCAGCAACCATCAGGAACCGTCACACTGAAAGAAACAGTGGAAATACAGGATACTTACCACATACTTACCAAGAAGACAAAGGGGGATGGGTGGGCTGGGAGAAAAGCTTATTAAAACGAGATCTTTCCATCAGTGAAAAGTACACGGAATGACTTGATATCCGAAGCCGAGCTGTAAAATCCAGGTGCCCCTGCACAATTCTCCCTCCCACCCTGAACCCACTCTGAGGGAGACTGCTGGCTAGCACTCTTGTTTCATGTTTAACTTAGCCTAAATTACATTAAGCCACATTTAATTATGGTTTCAATTCATTTGACAAATAAATATTTTTTACAGCTGACTGGCTGATGATAAAATATTTTCGTGGAGACAAGTACATGCATCACTGCTCTGGAGTAGACAGACTTGCTGTTATATTAATAACTTGTGATCCTGGTGAACAAAAGGTAAGCTACATATACTTGCAGGAAATTACATCGTAATCAAAAAGTCAATTTTTATAAGCAACTTGATTTCATGTTCACCATTGTTCAGGATGTTAAAGGGACATTGCAATGAATTTCACTTACATTTGCAAGATAACAGTTGAAACATTAAAATTCCGGGTCAAGTTTTTCAAGTTTGATTGGACAAATTCAAAATGATGTGTACAAGTGGAAGCCATAGGTGCGAACAACGGGAAACTGATTAAGAAAAGTTTTTTAATGAATAGTCCATGCTATACATGTATGAAAAGAAAGAGAGAAACCTGTAGCTAGTTATGAGGAAAAAGAACTGGAAACCAGCGAAGTTGAAAGTACATGTATCTCACTGATCTTTTGTTAAGAATGTTCACATCTGGTAAGGTGTCTGTGACTTTGTCAGGGCTCTTTTCTACATCATGTAGAAGTGCCCAGGTGCCACAGGAGACTAACTTTTGCCTTTGGGCGACTGGAAAAACTTACTTTTTTTCATATAAGCTTATTAGTGCTGGGCACCCAGGATTTCATGGTTAGGAACCTTAACTTGGGGTTCCTTATAATTTTGCTTAGAGCACAGCCCTGTATGTGTTTTTGCTCAGCTGCAGAAAGTACCTAGCTATTGATTATGTATTCATCATTATTTCTTATTTTCCAGAACCACCCAATAATAGATTCCCAGACAGTAACTAAAGTCAATTTAAAATTTGAGATTTTTAAACAGTAATTCAAGAGTGTGTTTAAGGTCATTCCCCAGTATTGCATTGCACATCCCTACTGTGCATAATTTCATGCGTGATTAGTGCACGCGCGCGCATTAGAAAATGGCGGCTTTTTCTTTAAAGCTGGACCTCGCCATGGAGGTAAATTGTCATTTTCTTGCAAACGAGTATGGTGACCTATCATTTTTTCTGTTGTTTTGAATTGAGTAATAAATTTCTCTGTGTACAATAAATATGGACCAATTCTCAGTGTGGAACAAAAAGCAATCGTCGGAAACGTGAATTTAGCAAGCAATCGTAACTACAATCATGATGCTATTATGAGGATTTATTGGGTATAAACAAGATGCTGCTCCTCCTAAACGAACATCGGAACCCCTCATTTTTATTTGAAAAGTGGAGTTCCTATAATATAAACAATCAATAGGCAAAGTTTCACAAAAATCTCAGTGCAGGTTCTAATTCAGCAGAATGACCTTAAAACACATTTAATGACGAAATGAAGAAATGGCACTACAGGAAAGAATCAAGGTGGAATAAGGGTGTCTGTAAAGATTAACCCTACAGTTGCTGAGAGCTAACCACTGTCAAGACAGTCATATTTAGGCTAAACTGAGTGCTATTTAGGCTAACCGAAGCACTATCGTCGCTCAGTAATCGTTGCATTACTTCTTACTGGTATGTTCATATTTTGCAGGGCACAATGAAAATTATTGAGGAATACAGAAATAGATCCTCATCAACCAACCCACTTGAGTGTTACTATCTGTTTGAACTTAATCATGATGCTGCATGTACGGTGAAGCCAAAGCATCTGAGTGCAGGCTCTATTTTTCTGATAATGTGAGTAACAAGCTCGTCAGCAAAGGTCACAGACCTATGTTCTTTTTAAATATTACTGAATGTTAATTTTGTATGTGACTTATTGACTGACCGTGAGGTCAAGATGTCTAGATATTGACCAAGTTATTTTTTGCATATTCATGGTCCATAAGCATGTGAAAAAAGAACAAGGTTGATATCCACCTTTCTTGACCAAACAGTTTTGGTAAGTTACATGTAATATGACATAAAGAAAGCAGTTTCAAGTGTGAGGTGGAACAAAGCAGGCAATCCCAAACACTTGCAAGCAGGCAAGAAAGCCCCCTTTCACCTGTTCAGTTAGCCAGGCAAAGCACAGTGAGCTTATTGACTGACTCGGAGGGAGGGCTCCATGGGATAATATTTTGATTAGGTCAAGGTCATGCAATTTTGTCTGTGCCAAATGATGGGGAACAAAAAATATTGAGCTTGATTTGTTTGGAATGGTGAGAAAATGCCTGGTACAAACTTACAAATACAACATTCCAGCACAACATATTGCAACATTGTTGGATAGTAAGAAGACATGATTGATCATTGCAGTTATAAGTATACACAACTTAAGCAGTTGTGAAATTAAAGCCTGAATTTCGTCAGACTTAAATTGCACGACTGCTGTGAATATAATTGCGATTATCAATCACGTCTTCACATCTTTCTGCAGTTCAAGTATATCATCTTTCATATGTTCACAAGTTTGTATTGTTGAATAGTGTTCGAATGGGGCTACAAAGAGAGACATTTATACAACATAATGTTATTGCAAAATTTGGTAAAACTGTGCAACATCTTATGCACAATGTTGCCATGTACAATGTACAATGTACGTGTACAACTGTACACTGTATGTTGGGTGTAAGGTGGCTGAACAAAGTTTTTGCGTGCACTTTTGCTGATGCAATTCAGTGTGCACACAAGGATTGCAAAAACAAACATGCCATCAATAGAGCGATCAGTTTATTTACTCAACACCCACACTATCTGTGCTATTTTTCTCTATTATTGAACGCAGTGTATTGATGGCTTTAGTCTTTTATTGCAAAGATATGTTAGAA